TTAGGGTAAAGGTCGAGGTGTATGAGAGACTGCTGTCCGTTTCCTGGGCCTTAGCTGGACAGTAGGGCAGTTCTGTGTCCAACAACACCCCAGCATTCCCCCCCTTGTGTCCCCTACGTGCACACATCATGGAACTCCAAGCGGTCTTACCAAACCAGCTCCAGTGGGAAGCCGGGAGGAGGTGGAGGCTGAGTTCAGCTGATGTTCACTTCCTCTGTGGCTTGGCCAAGTCTCCTGCCCTCTCTTTATCTAGTCCCCCCGCTTCCATAACAAGCTCCCGTTTCTTGAGCACCCGCCCAGTTTTTGTCCCGTTGTCTCTTGAGGCTGACATGATTATCCCCATTTCACAGATGGGCAGACTGAGGTGCGGAAAGGTGAGGAAGCGGTGGAGCCAAGGATGGAGGGCTGTGTCCTCCTTCCCATGGCCCCCCAGTGCTCTACACGCTGGTCTCCAGCCTCTGCCACTTTCAGACCCTTTCCCCTCCCCTCCCCGGCCGCTGCCCCTCCCCCTCTCCAAAGCCTGAGGCTGAGCTCCGCTCCAGGGCTCCAGGGTCACTCAGCCTGGCCTGGGAGGAGCCCAGACTTGAACCCAGGCCCCTTGGCCCCAGGCCTCGCTTGCTCTGGCCAGCAGGCTGGGCCTGTTCCCTGGGTGAGTCATGCCCCTGGACTTTGGCCTCCTTGTCGGGCTCTGTGGTCTGAATTTGGAGACGAGGGCGGCCTCTGTGAGAGGGGGCTCCCCTGGCAGCAGTGCTGTGCCCAGAGGGCATGGCGAGAGCCGCCCAGAACCTGCCTCCCCACCACCGGTCTCCGAGCGGCCTCATAGGAAATGGCGCTCAGGCTTCAGTGAGCACTCACGCCCCCTCCCTCGCTAACAGCCACATTCAGTTGGAAACGAGGTGAGGCTGGAGCTTGGGGTTGGTGCGTTTCCAGGTTATCTGTGTGCCCAGGTGGCTTCCTCCCCAGCGCCAGGCCACCGGGTTGCCCAGGAGGGCGGCCGGTGTCACCTCCCCTCCCGGTGTCCAGGGACCAAGGTCACACCCAGAGCCGGGTGCGCTTCCACCTCCTCCTGGGGCCGGCGGTGTTTGTCACTGGGGCAACGTGCGTGCGGCTGTGCCTGGCTCTGGCAGAGCTGGGTGACATTCATGCCCTGTGAGCTGTGACGCCTCTGCAGGCAGAGGACGGCACCACCCAGGCTGGCGGGGGGGGGGGGGGAGCGTGCTGTCACCTGTCCTAAGCGGTCAGGGGGTAACGTGCCGTGTGCCCGTCCCAGTCTGGAGGGAGGACTCATGGGGAAGGCGTGAGGTTGTGTCCCTGGCACAGACCATGGGTTGGGGTTGGGGGGGGGGGGGTAAGTCTGGAAGGTGAGGCTTGTGTCTGTGTCGGGGTTGGGTCGGGGGGAGGTTCTCCAATCATTTCACACCCGGTACCTGGGTGTATGTCAGCTGCACCATTGTGAGGGTGACAGCTTGCGTTCCCACTGTCTGGGGTATCAGCTGTGCCCACCTCACGCTTTGTGGGAAGTGACCGGTCAGGAGAGTGGTCAGTGCTGTCCTGTGCCTGTCTCTCCAGCTCCTGGGGGTGTGTGAGATGTCACCATGTGCCCCTCTCATGCTGCCGGGGGGGAGTGACGTGGGTGATGACCTCATGCTGTTGGGAGGTTGTAACTTAGGAGTTTGCCTTCCACCCTAAAGAGACAACGTGTTGCCTGGTGGCCTGGAACTGACAGCTAGCAGAGCCTGCCCGTGGGGACCCCAGGACCCCAAAGGGGTGGCCAGCAGAGGCCCTGACGCCAGGACACGTGGGGGAGGGGGCGGTGTCTCACTGGCCCCGGGGCCAGCCCCGAGCCTGTTTCCCAGGAGGGAGGACCGGTGTTTTCAGCCCGAGTGCAGCAGGGCCGCGGGGACCGGGCAGGGGTGCCTGGGGAGGTGGGGCGCCAGGCAGGGTCCGAGCGAGGGGCTGTCCCCCCAGGCCTGGGGACCCTGTTCCCTGCCTCCTCTGCCCCCGAAACTGTTAAACTAATTAAGGCTGCGGAGCCGCAGGATTAATCGGGGCAGCTCTCGGGCCCGGAGCTCAGGTAGTCGATTAGTGTGCCGAGGAGGATATTGGATTTCTGAACCGCAAGTCAGCACTATTCGGGCCTGTTATCTCTCCGAGGCTCGAGGGTCAGGAGGCGGAGGCTCCCGGCCTGCTGGCCACCCCCGCCTGGCCCGCCTGGAGGTCCTCTTCCCCTGCCCACACTGCCATCCCCGCCTGCCAGCCTGTCCCCACTCACTTCCCCTGCCCTGCTGCTGCCCACTGGGCTCCGCACCCAGCTCTCCTCCCTGGCTCCTCCCGCGTGGCCTCCTCCCTGTCTGCCTCCATCGCCCTCCTGTCTCCCTCTGTGAGGCCGGCCTCCCTGCGCTGCCATCCCCTCTGCCCCCTCCTCCTCCCCCTCCCCCTCCCCGTCCCACCTGGCCTGACTCACTCCGTGTGCCTCCCGACCCGCTCTGCAGCTCTGACCAGCCTCTCCACCTCTGTCTGTCCCCTCGCTGTCCCTCCCTCCAGTCGCTCTCTCTGCTTTTGTTTGTTTCTGTATCTCACAGTTCCTGATTGTCACTGTCTCTCATGTCTCTCCCACTGGGTGTCTCTGTATCTTTCTCTCCCTCTCTGTGTTTTTCTCTCTCCCTCTGGCACTCAATCTCTCTCTCTCCCTCTCTCTCTCTCTCCCTCTCTCTCTCTCTCCGTCTTTCTTGTGTGGTCTCGGCTGGTGTCTGCAACCAGAACAAATCTCCCCCAGCCAACACCCCCTGAACAAGGAGGCCAGAGCAGCTAATGGAAAACATGTGATTCCGCCTTGCGCCTGGAGCACCGTGAAGGGAGCCTTAGTCCCAGCTCAGCCCCGGCTCCCCCCTCGCTGCCTTCCCCCCACCACACTGTCCCCCGCCTGCCATTGGCTCCCCAGCCTGTGTGGGCACAGTCGTGAGCTCCCTAGTCATTTACATTTCAGGGATTGGGGGAGCTGTCATTTATCAGTTGGGGAGTATCAGGTTCTGGAGGGGCTGGGAGCAGCTTTGCTCCGCTGGCCCCCGCCCCCATCCGCCCTGGCACCCAGGGCCAGGCAGACCCCATGCAGACTCCCACCACCACCCCCATATGTAAGAGAGCAGGGCCAAGATGAGCTGAGCTGTGGGGGCCTGGATGGGGGGCAGCCAGTCAGCCCCCCTTGGAGGGCTCTGGAGCCACCCAGATTTCCATCTTTTCCACCCTCTTGTGCCCCTGGGGAGCTGCAGGGGGGGGGGGCCTCCCTGAGGGCTTGGAGCTGCTGGGCTGCGTTTCTGTGCCCACCCAACCACGGGGAAAGGGGGATGGATCAGAGGAGGGAGGCTCTGGCAGGTTGGAATTCTCCTCTCTGCCTGTGGATAAATTGTCCCTAATCCAGGCTTGGGAAGCTGTCTGGCTGAGAGAGAGAGAGAGAGAGAGAGAGAGAGAGAGAGAGAGAGAGAAGGCAGGAGATAGGGAGGAGGGAAGCAGGCACACAAACACAGTGACACAGACACACTGTCTCACAAAGGGCCTCTCACATGTGCTCACACACGCACTGACAAGCCGCACAAAGGTACCACACAGATCCTGAGGCGCCTTGTCTGACAGGCACATGGCACACAGACCCTCTCACCCGTGTGGACACTGACAGAGCTATGCTTGCGCTGACAGAAGGACACGGCACCAAGGACCCATCGACACACACGGGCACAGCAATAAGGCCACACAGTGCACACACACACCGACCCACGGTGAAGCAGACCCACAGGGACACCGTGACCCTGAGAACCCAGAGGAAGGCAGCGGCGGCGGCGGGAGGGAGGCAGAGCTGATCCACGGCGACACCAGTGCCCACGGTCACTGGAGACCTGCAGGGACAGCCGAGGACCACCTCACCACGCACACCCAGAGAGCTCTGAGACAGGCGAACGCCGTGCGGCTCCCGGCACAGGATGCAGAGAGCCGGGCAGAGTGTGTGTAGAGAGGCACACTCCTGGCCTGACCACCACTGGGCACACCTCTTCACACCTACGCACACGTACTTTCACCTCTGTCCTCACAGGTGTGCAGACACAGGCTCAGTGGACAGAAACAGAGCTGAACAGACCCAGATGCACACACCCACAAGTAAGACACCAGATCCAGATATATGTCAGGCGCGCACGCACACACACACAATCCCATACATGTATACTCTTAGACATACATATACCTGCACAGACATACAAAAATACACAGAGAAGCATAAGTAGATCCAGGACCCTGTGTGCAGGGATATTTACCCAGACAACTGAACATGCATAGCCAGGCATCATACAGGCAGGATCTCTAACATACAAATCCCAAGGCAACCAGAACCTGTGAGGCGGCCATGGGGCCGAGTTTCAGATCCTTTCTGGCTCCTGTACACACACCTCAACAGGGCAGACTAACGGGCAGGAAGCAGCGGGATAGGGCGAAGGGCCCTGGCTGTTAAGGAAAACGGGAGATGTAGCCAGCTGATGGAGAAGGGGAGGTGCCAGCTGCATGGACACCCCTCGTGGAAATCTGCATATACCATCACCCTGAACAGCAGCTCTACAAACAAGCTCTTAGCATTTTACAGCCTCCCCAGAGTCCTCCTCCCAAGTCACAGCATCTCCCCACTTACGAGATGAGAAAACTGAGAGCCACAGAGGTTAACTCACTTGCCTAAGATCACACAGTAAGTGAGGTTTGAGCCAAGGACTACCTAGCTCCCAGGGCCACGTTCGTCCCACCACAGCCCATGTGTTCATGTTCATGCGCGTGTGTGCCTACACATGCAAAGATACTGCTCCCCCATAGGAGCCTGAGGTTCACAACTCCTCAGTGAAATGAGGTTTGAGCTGATTGAATTGTGTGCAAAAGTGAACCCCCACCTCGGACCGCCTCCTGGTCCCTCTGTCGGGCGCATCCTGTGGCTGTGCTTAAGCCTGTGGTGCTGTTTGCTTCCACAGATGGGAGTTTGCCTGCTTGTCTACCCATCAGCCTGGACCCCAGAGCCTGCCCAGCTGAGTGGGTGCAGAGGGCCCCGGGTTTGGGGCGACGCTCAGGCTGCCACAGAGACCACCCTGGCATCACTGGTGAAGACTGGCCTTGCCTGCTGAGCCGGGCCTGTCTGCTCAGCCTGCTCAGGTAAGGAGCAGTGTCCAGGGAGACCAGGTCTGAGCTTCGGCCACCCCCACCAAGTAGGCACCAGGGGGTCTTACTTCCCGTCCTAGCAGGGACTTTCCCCTCCCAGCTTAGGCCAAAAGAGGCCCTTGATAGAACCCAAATATATTAACGCAACTTACTCAAACACCCCATTACCCAGAAAGGGGAACCGAGGCCCAGGGGTAACAGCAAGTTTCCCAAGTCCTGCCCCCTAGTCTGGGGACTCTTCCCTGCTCCTTGACGACCTGAGATAATGGGGAAGAGAGGGTTTGGAACAGAACTCAGGGTAGAGGTGGCAACCAGAGTGCCTGGTGTGTGCAGCCCACTCCCCACCCCCCTCTGTGGGAGCAAGGGCTGGGCCGCCAGGGCGAGGTGCTGAGAGGACCCAGTCTCAGGTACGCCAGCTGCCCAGCCGGGACGAGGTGGAGCAGGGGCCAGCACCCGCCTCCCTGCTCCTGGCCCATACAAGCCCACCGGGCTCCAGAGCCACAGAGGCCAGGTGGGGCGGCCCTGCCCTGCCCTGCAGAGGCAACTCCCAGACTGACAACTCCCTGACTGTCCCCGGAGCCCAGCCTGCCTGGGGACTCCACCCAACTTCCCAAAGAGCATTCCTGGGGCCTGAGGTCTGGGGGTGGGGCCTCCTGGGATTGTGAGGGCGGGGAGGTTCGGGTGTGGGAGGATGTGGGGCTGTGTACCCACAGTGAAAGTGTAGGGCATCTTGTGTACACACACACAGGTGTGCATGTAAGCCGGTGTGTGTGTGAGTGGGGGTGGGGGCTCTAGCCTGTGTGTGCAAGGATCTGTCTATGAGAGTTATTGTGTAAGTGGACTGAGTTAGGGGTGATTAAGGGCTGTGTATATAGCACATTGGAGTGAGGAGTGTGCAGGATTCGAGTGTGTCCCGGGCAGGTGTGAGAATACCGGAGTGCTGTGTGTACCACATTGGATGGTGAGTGTGTACAGGGTGTCAGTCTACACTGGGGAGGCGTGTGGACAAGAATCAGAGTACACTGGGTGATAGGCGGGTACGCGGGATGGGGTGGGGTGTGTATACCTTGGGATCCCTCCGTGTGCCACTGGGAGAGCGTGTGTGCAGGGCTGTGTGCTGTGTGCACATGGCACCATTTGTGCTTCGGAGGTGGGCCGGGCAGGCCTTCAGCTGAGCTGGGCTCAGCGGTGCCCAGCCTTGTGGCCAAATCACTGAAGTCACTTCCTTTCCAGCAGCAACTTTCCAGGAGGAGGAGTTCTTCAGACCTGGGCAGGGGGGGAGGGGGCGGAACAAGGAGCTCTCAGGGGAAGGAGGTGGGCGGGGGTGAGAGGCTGTGGGGAGGGCCTGGTGGGGCTGGAGGAGGGGAGTCCTCTGGGAGACGAGGGAAAGACAAGGACAGAAGTCTGGGAGGGCCAAGGGCAGGAGGGGATGGGGGCGGAGCAGGGCGGGAAGCACAGTCCCTGGGTGACCTCGGAGGGAGGAAGGGAGGGCCTCCAGGCAGGGTGACCCTCGGGTTCAGCCAGAGCTGGCTGTGGTGCCTGCACACCTGGCACCCAGGTCAGGGGGCTGGCAGGGGCGGGCCTAGGGCAGACCTGCTTGCCAGGTGCCCCACTCCATGCAGGAAGGGGGTGGGCGAGGGCCTCACAAAGGAGCTCTGTGTGTCTGGGGGTAGGGTGGGGTGGGGTGTGCTGTGCTGGGGCGGGGGCTGCTGGCTCCGGGGAGCAGGGCGGGGCTTGCACCCCTTGGGGGCATCGGTGGCTCTGAGGGGACACCTAGTGGTGAGGGAGGATAGTGCAGCAGGATGGCCGAGGTGAGAGGGGTGGGTGGAGAAGCTGGCAGGGGGTAGGTAGAATTCAAAAATTAAAACTGCTGTTGGAACTGGAACGGTTGGAGGAGGCTGCAGAGGAAGGGGCTGGCTCTGGACAGGGAGGGAGTTTGGTTTAGACTCTAAACTTTAGAGGATCCCAACAAACCTAAATTAAGACTTCAACTCTTCCACATCATGGCTGTTTGTCCTTAAGGGCATAATTTAACCTCTGGGCCTCCATTTAAATGCCAAATAAGTGACAGCTACCGACATCTTTTCATTCCTGTTATTTTTGTTATCATTTCGGGCTGCAGTCAGGTTGGAGGATTTTCAGGTGTCATTGGGCGGCTGGGAGGGGCTGAAGAGGGGGAGAGGGAGGGGTGTTGCTTCGTTCCTGAGGGGACAGGTCCTGGGAGATAAAGGCCCCAGAGGGCGATGCTAGAGCTCTCACAGCAGCAGTAATGGCCCTTTTGATGTAGTGTTTTCCATCTGAGGACATCCCCAGGCCTTCAGTCCAGGCTGGGAGGGAAATGGGGGGGGGGGCAGGGGAGGAGTGTGCAGGCTGGAGAGAGGGTCATGAGGCCGGAAGTGAGAGCTAGGCCTGGCAGTCTGGCTCCCCTGGGGAGGCTGTGGGTGGGGGAGGGGGGCAGTGTGGGGAAGGGGTGGGGTGGTCACAGCCACAGCCGGGGGAGGGTGGGGCTGGGGACTCAAGGATGTGGGCTGGCGCTTCCCGGCACTGTGCACGGCAGGTTGGGGCCCCCTCCCAGCCGCCGGGTGTCCCCAAGGGCAGGCGCAGACACACTGACCCAGAAGCTGACGGAGACAGAAAGATCCTTTTGACGTTGTTCACAGACATGGCATAGGTGGCACCCTTGGGAGGGGTCCAAGAAAATGGCCACCTGGGTGTGGTAGGGAGAAGAGCCAGCTGCTTCCCTCAGATCCCAGAGCCTGGGGGGGAGAGAGAGAGAGCGAGAGCGAGAGAGCGAGAGCGAGAGCGAGAGCGAGAGAGAGAGAGAGAGAGAGAGAGAGAGCACGCGCGCGAGAGAGCGAGCTCACAGAGGACTGGCAGGAGGACATGCCCAAAGGTCTTCACGGGCGGGTGGAACAGAAGCAGCCACTGGAAAGGAGGTTTTTCTCTTCTGCCAAGATCACAGCCCCTAGTCCCAAGTGGGAGGTCTCTAGAGCAGGGAGCTTGCTCAGTAAACACCACCCTCAGGAAGGGAGAGATGGCGGCTTCTGGCGAGGCACCTCTAGGAAGGTCTCAGGAGCCATGGTCAACCCTGTGGAAGTCAGAACCGGAGACTGCAGAGCCGGGGCCCCTTCCCTCCTTGGCGAGGACGTTACCCACCGTCCTTTCCGCAAGAGCAGGGTGAGCCCGGCCGGCCGGGAGGGGCGAGCGCGGGCAGAGCAGAGCCCGAGTGATCCAACAGGCCGGACAACGGTGAGGACCGCGGAGGCCCGGGAGCTGCAGGGCGGGCAGGGGCAGTGGACAGAGGGATGTTCTGCCTGAAAGAGCGACTGAAGGGCTCTCCCCGTGCCTTGGGCAAAGGCCCTTTCCCTCTTCCATCTCAGTTTCCTCGTCTGTAAAATGGGAGGAGCTCGAGGTGGCACTAAAACATTGTACCCACTGAGGGGGGGGAGGTGCTGTTTAAAAATGCAGGTTCCCAGCCCGGCCGCTGTGGCTCAGTGATTGGTTCCCATGTACCAAGAGGTTGCCTGTTCGATTCTTAGTCAGGGCACACACCAGGTTGCAGGCTCTGTCCCAGTGGGGGTGTGCAGGAGGCAGCTGATTAATGCTTCTTTCTCATTGATGTTTCCTTCTCGGTGATGTTTCTGTGTCTAATTCCCTCTCCCTTCCTCTCTCTTAAAAAATAAAAGGCCTAGCCAGTTTGGAAGGCTTTCCTCCCAGCCTGGATTGAAGGCCCAGTGGATAGAGTGTCAGCCTCTGGCCTGAAGGGTCCCAGGTTCGATTCCGGTCAAGGGCATGTACCTTGGTTGCAGATTCTTCCCCGGGATGTGTTTCTCTCACATTGATGTTTCTCTCTGTCTTTCCTCTCTCTTCCACATTCCCCCCCAAAAAATTAATGGAAAAATATCCTCCGTTAAGGATTAACCAAAAAAAATTTTTTTAATTAATTAAATAAATAAAAATCAGTAAAAATACAGATTCTCAGATGTCCCTTCAGATCTGTGAGTCAGACTCCCCTGGACTAGGGCCTGGGCATCTGGAATGTTCCACAGCTCCCCCAGGCCCGGGGTTTGGAAGCCAGTGGGTTAGATGGTTTGACGGTTCCTCCCAGCCTTAAATTAGATCACCACTCCAGGAGGAGCGTTCTCAGGAGGGGCTGGAGGAGAGCTGCAGGAGCTGGGAGGAGAAGGAGGCTTTGGGCTTGGGGCAGAGTCAGGAATCCTGCCACTTAGCAGCTATGTCACTTCAGGCAAGTTACACAATCGCTCTGAGCCTGTTGCCTCTGGAAGGAGGGGACGGTAAACTATGAGTCCTGCGCAGCCATACGGATTCAGTGGGTCCTCTGTGTGGAGGCGCTTTGTAGATTGCAAATCAGTGTCCACCAAGAGGGATGTACACCATCCCTCCTGAGCCAGGCCTGCAGCCTTCCCGTGGGGTGCCAGACAGGGCGGTGTGACAGCCAGTGAGAGCCCGCAGGTGTCTGTGAGGGATGGGCCCTGGGGATTCGGGCAGGGCCAAGCAGTAGGCACAGTCGGGGTCTTTAAGACCCTCATGGTAGGCAGGGCCCATTCCGCTCCTTGCTCCCCAAGATCCCATCTCCTGGGGATCAGCCAAGGCCTGAGTCCTCAGGCTCCCTTGAAAGTCGGACATGCCTAGGTCTAAATCCCAGCTCTGCCCAGACCCGCTCGGGGAGTCAGCTGGTAAATATTTATGTAGCATCCATAGCCCAGGCCCTAGGGTTGGGATACGGCGGTAATAAACAAGACAGATGCAGTCCCTGCCCGTAAAGAGCCCACACTCCAGGGGGACACACTGCACTGCCAGTTGTGCACGTAATTGATTGCAGTCGTGATAAATACTACGAAGGTGAGATGGAGAGGGCTCTGAGAGTGTTTAGCAAGGGGGGGGGGGGGTGTCAGAAAATGTCCCTTTCCACATTCTTGTCTCCCTCCCTTCCCTGCTCCTCCTCCTCGGGTCACACTTGGGTCTGGGGAGGAATGAGAGCCCACGCGTGCTCTGTGCCTCATGCATCCGTCCGGGGTTTTTGGAAGCACACTTGTGGGCCACGTGCGGTCAGGGTGTTGGGAGACACACAGACTGAACAGGACAGAAATCCTTGCCCTCGAGGTGCTTAAAATCTCACAGTGGGTAGTTTCCTCCTCTGTAAAAATGGGGATGATAATCACATTGATCTTAGCTTTGTGGGGAAGTCAGATGAGATAATCCTTAGGAACTGCTTAGGCCAGAGTTTGGCAACAGAGAAAGGTCCCCAAAGTATGAGCTTCCATTGTTGTTGACTCCCCGGTCTGATTGCTAAACCTCTGACCTCAGGCACTTTTCGCTTTCTCTTTACAGCTTTTATCCCAATAACAATTAAGTCATTTTGATTATCTGATCCTTTTGTCTACCCAGTCCTTGTGCAAATAGGCACTCCATAAATACTATGAATGAATGATGTTACTTCATCTCTTAGCCTCATTTCTTCCTCTGCAAAAAGTGGGGTTATTAACAGCCCCTGCCTCACAGGATTGGTGTGAAGAATGAAACGAAACGATGCCCGGACAGCTTCTGGCCCAGGGCCTGGCATGCAGTAGGTGCTCACTAAACCTGAGCTGCGATGGTCCTTTCCAGGCGCTGCCCCCACCCCGAGGCCTGGGCTCAGGCCGAAGCTGTTCCACTGCACCCCCAGCTGACAGCCAGCAGCTAGCCGAGCCCCCAGGCACGGGGGCTCTCTCTGTTTCAGGTCAGCCGGGTGTGTGTCCTGGAGGCAGCTGTGGGGGGGGGGGGGATGTATGTGGAGGAGACCGGGCAGGTGGGCATGGGGGCAGGGATTGGGCCGCGGCCACCAGACCATTCAGATTTCCCGTTGCCTGTCTTGCTGCCCACAGATATCTCCAGTGTGACAGCCCAGGCGGCAGAGCCGAGGGTGAGTGGCTGGGGTCCCCCGGAACCCTGGGAATGGGGACAAGAAGGAGGGAGGAGGCCTTGCCCTGGATAGGACTTCCTGGCCCTCTGTCAGGGGCCTAGCCCTCTGCCTCAGTTTGACCTGGAGTGGTTGCCCTGCCCTGCTGTTCCTCCCTGTCAGAGGCAGGTGTCCTGCGCACATAGTGGAGCTGGGGCTTGGGAGGGGTTCGGGGTGCATGTGGTGGTTTGGGAAGAGCTGGGGGTCAGCAGGCAGATTGACGTGGGGAGGGGACTTGAGAGGATGCAGAGGTTCACTGGGGATATGGGAAGCTGATGGGACCTGAGTATTCAGTGAGGGACCTCCTGCCTGTCCTGCCCGGTAGGTCCTGGTCCCGGCTTCTCGCACCCTCATGTCAGCCCCGGCCCCGCCTGGCGGCCCTCGGAGGACAAGGTCAGGATGCGTGTGAAGCCCCAGGGCCTGGTGGTGACTTCCAGTGCCGTGTGCAGCTCTCCTGACTACCTCCGGGAGCCCAAGTACTACCCCAGCGGCCCCCCCACCCCCCGCCCCTTGCTTCCCACCCGGCCCCCCGCCAGCCCACCTGACAAGGCCTTCGCCCAAACCTTCTCCGAGAACACCCACCCACCCCCACGCCGGGACCCTAGCGCCCGGCGCCCGCCCGTCCTCGCCAAGGGGGACAGTCTGCTGCCCCCTCGGGCCACCCGCCCGGTCTCACAGGCCCACTGCCCCACCCCTGCTGGAGACGGCAGCAGCTCCCAGCGTCACTGGGACAACGGGCGGGTGAACCTGCGTCCGGTGGTGCAGCTGATTGACATCATGAAGGACCTGACCCGGCTCTCCCAGGACCTGCAGCACAGCGGCGTGCACCTGGACTGCGGTGGGCTCCGGCTCAGCCGCCCGCCCGCCCCACCCCCCGGCGACCTCCAGTACAGCTTCTTCTCCTCCCCGAGCCTGGCCAACAGCATCCGCAGCCCAGAGGAGCGGGCCACCCCCCACGCCAAGTCCGAGCGGCCCGGTCACCCCCTCTATGAGCCCGAGCCTGAGCCTAGAGACAGCCCTCAGCCCGGTCAAGGCCACAGTCCCGGAGCCACGGCCGCAGCCACGGGCCTGCCCCCGGAACCTGAGCCGGACGGCCCCGATTACTCGGAACTCGCCGACGCCGACATCCTTAACGAGCTGGCCTCCCTCACTTGCCCCGAGGCCCAGCTGCTGGAGGCCCAGGCCCTTGAGCCACCGTCGCCTGAGCCGGAGCCTCAGCTCCTGGACCCCCAGCCCCGCTTCCTGGACCCACAGGCGCTAGAACCGCTTGGGGAAGCTTTGGAGCTGCCACCCTTGCAGCCTCTGGCTGACCCTCTGGGGCTGCCCAGCCTGTCCCTGCAGGCCCTGGACACCCTGCCCGACTCCCTGGAGTCACAGCTGCTGGACCCTCAGGGACTGGACCCGCTGCCCAAACTGCTGGACGTCCCCGGCCGCCGTCTGGAGCCCCCGCAGCCCCTCGGGCCCTGCCCGCTGGCCGAGCCCTTGCACCTGGACCTGTGCTCCCCCCACGGCCCCCCCGGGGCGGAGGGACTCCCCAAGTACGCCCTGCGGCGCACCGATAGGCCAAAGATTCTGTGTCGCCGGCGGAAGGCCGGTCGGGGGCGCAAGGCAGACTCCGGGCCCGAGGGCCGCCTCATGCCCATGCCCATGCCCACGCCCACGGGGATGGCGGCCGCCCTGGCCGAGCCGCCCCCACCACCGCCTCTGCCGCCTCCTGCCCTGGCCGGCGGCCCAGGCCCGGAGCTGGAGCCGGAGCCTTCCCAGAACCCGATGATGCCTACCCGCAAGAGCAAGTGCCGGGGCGTGCGCCGCATGGTGGTGAAGATGGCCAAGATCCCCGTGTCGCTGGGGCGGCGGAACAAGACCACCTACAAGGTGTCCTCGCTGAGCAGCAGCCTGAGCGTGGAGGGCAAGGAGCTGGGCCTGCGCGTGTCGGCGGAGCCCACGCCGCTGCTGAAGATGAAGAACAACGGGCGCAACGTGGTGGTGGTCTTCCCCCCCGGCGAGATGCCCATCATCCTTAAGCGCAAGCGCGGCCGCCCCCCCAAGAACCTGCTGCTGGGCCCCGGCAAGCCCAAGGAGCCGGCCGCCGTGGTGGCGGCGGCGGCGGAGGCGGCCACGGCGGCGGCGGCGGCCGCCATGGCCATGCCGGAAGTGAAGAAGCGGCGGCGGCGGAAGCAGAAGCTGGCGTCGCCGCAGCCGTCCTACGCGGCCGACGCCAACGACAGCAAAGCCGAGTACTCGGACGTGCTGGCCAAGCTGGCCTTCCTGAACCGCCAGAGCCAGTGCGCCGGCCGCTGCTCGCCGCCCCGCTGCTGGACGCCCAGCGAGCCCGAGTCCGTGCACCAGGCGCCCGACACGCAGAGCATCTCCCACTTCCTGCACCGCGTGCAGGGCTTCCGGCGGCGCGGCGGCAAGGCGGGCGGCTTCGGGGGCCGCGGCGGGGGCCACGCGGCCAAGGCGGCCCGCTGCTCCTTCAGCGACTTCTTCGAGGGCATCGGCAAGAAGAAGAAGGCGGTGGCGGTGGCAGCCGCCGGGGTGGGGGGCCCCGGCCTCACCGAGTTGGGCCACCCCCGCAAACGGGGCCGCGGGGAGGTGGACGCCCTGACCGGGAAGCCCAAGCGCAAGCGGCGGTCCCGGAAGAACGGGACTCTGTTCCCGGAGCAGGTGCCCGGCGGCCCCGGCTTCGGGGAGGCGGGCGCCGAATGGGCCGGGGACAAGGGCGGCGGCTGGGCCCTGCACCACGGGCACCCGGGGGGGCAGGCCGGCCGGAACTGCGGGTTCCAGGGCACGGAGGCCCGGGCCTTTGCCTCCGCCGGGCTGGACAGCGGGGCCTCCGGCCGCGGCAGCTACTACGGCGCGGGCACGCCCGCGGGCCAGAGCGAGCTCAGCCAGGAGCGCCAGAACCTCTTCACCGGCTACTTCCGCTCCCTGCTCGACTCGGACGACTCCTCCGACCTCTTGGACTTTGCCCTTTCATCCTCACGCCCTGGCCCCGAGTCCCGGAAGGCATCGGGCACCTACGCGGGGCCCCCGACCAGCGCCCTGCCTGCCCAGCGGGGCCTGGCGGCATTCCCCAGCCGGGGAGCCAAGGCCAGCCCGGTGGCGGTGGGCAGCAGCGGGCCCGGAGCGGAGCCCTCCTTTCAGCCTGTCCTGCCTGCTCGCCAGACCTTCCCCCCGGGCCGGGCGGGGAGCTACGGCATAACCCCCGCCACGTCCGATTGCCGGGCAGCCGAGACCTTCCCGAAGCTGGCTCCTCCGCCTTCCGCCATGGCCCGCTCCCCCACCACCCACCCGCCTGCCAACACCTACACCCCCCAGTACGGCGGCTACGGGGCCGGACAGAGTGTATTCGCCCCGGCAAAGCCCTTCACGGGCCAAGACTGTGCGAACAGCAAGGACTGCAGCTTTGCCTACGGCAGCGGCAACAGCCTGCCCGCCTCGCCCAGCAGTGCCCACAGCGCCGGCTACGCCCCACCGCCTACCGGTGGCCCCTGCCTGCCGCCAAGCAAGGCCTCCTTCTTCAACAGCTCCGAGGGGGCCGCCTTCTCCGGATCAGCCCCCACGCCCCTGCGCTGTGACAGCCGGGCCAGCACCGTCTCGCCCGGCGGCTACATGGTGCCCAAGGGCACCACCGCCTCCGCTGCCTCCTCTTCCTCCTCCTCCTTCCAGCCCTCGCCCGAGAACTGTCGGCAGTTTGTGGGGGCGTCTCAGTGGCCTTTCCGGCAGGGCTATGGAGGCCTGGACTGGGCCTCGGAGGCCTTCAGTCAGCTCTACAATCCCGGGTTCGACTGCCACGTCAGCGAGCCCAACGTGATCCTGGACATCTCCAACTACACGCCGCAGAAGGTGAAGCAGCAGACGGCCATGTCCGAGACCTTCTCCGAGTCGTCCTCCGACAGCACCCAGTTCAATCAGCCCGTCGGGGGCGGCTTCCGGCGCGCCAACAGCGAGGCCTCGAGCAGCGAGGGCCAGTCCAGCCTGTCCAGCCTGGAGAAGCTCATGATGGACTGGAACGAGGCGTCGTCCGCCCCCGGTTACAACTGGAACCAGAGCGTCCTCTTCCAGAGCAGCTCCAAGCCAGGCCGCGGACGGCGGAAGAAGGTGGACCTGTTCGAGGCCTCGCATCTGGGCTTCCCGTCCTCCGCCTCGGCCTCCGCCTCCGGCTACCCGTCCAAACGGAGCACGGGCCCCCGGCAGCCGCGGGGCGGGCGGGGCGGCGGGGCCTGCTCCGCCAAGAAGGAGCGGGGCGGCGCGGCGGCCAAAGCCAAGTTCATCCCCAAGCCGCAGCCGGTCAACCCGCTGTTCCAGGACAGCCCGGACCTCGGCCTGGACTACTACAGCGGGGACAGCAGCATGTCCCCCCTGCCCTCGCAGTCCAGGGCCTTCGGGGTGGGCGAGCGAGACCCCTGTGACTTCATGGGGCCTTACTCCATGAACCCGTCCACGCCCTCCGACGGCACCTTCGGCCAAGGCTTCCACTGCGACTCGCCCAGCCTGGGCGCCCCCGAGCTGGACGGCAAGCATTTCCCGCCGCTGGCCCACCCGCCCACGGTGTTTGACGCTGGCCTGCAGAAGGCGTACTCGCCCACCTGCTCGCCGACACTGGGCTTCAAGGAAGAGCTGCGGCCGCCGCCCACCAAGCTGGCTGCCTGTGAGCCCCTCAAGCATGGGCTCCAGGGGGCCAGCCTGAGCCACGTGGCTGCGGCCCAGGCCCACCTGAGCTGCCGGGACCTGCCCCTGGGCCAGCCCCACTACGACTCCCCCAGCTGCAAGGGCACAGCGTATTGGTACCCGCCGGGCTCGGCTGCACGCAGCCCGCCCTACGAAGGCAAGGTGGGCACGGGGCTGCTGGCTGACTTCCTGGGCAGGACGGAGGCTGTGTGCCTCAGCGCCCCCCACCTGGCTAGCCCGCCAGCCACGCCCAAGGCCGACAAGGAGCCCCTGGAGCTGGGCCGGCCGCCCGGTCCGCCCCGTGGCCCCGCCGCGGCCGCTGCTGGCTACGGCTGCCCGCTCCTAAGTGACTTGACCCTGTCCCCTGTGCCAAGGGACTCACTGTTGCCCCTGCAGGATACCACCTACAGGTATCCGGGCTTTATGCCACAGGCGCATCCCGGCCTGGGTGGGGGCCCCAAGAGCGGCTTCCTGGGGCCCATGGCGGAGCCTCACCCCGAGGACACATTCACCGTCACCTCCCTGTAGTGCCAACTGAAGTGCCGACTGGACCTCGAGGTTTTGTTCCTGGGTGAGTCTGGGGATGTGGGTGCAGTGGGCAGAGGCCTGGGGGGTGGGGGCGGAGATGAGGACAGAGGTTGGCCAAGGAGAAGAGGTACAGTGATGAGCAGGAAGAATTTAAGGGCAGGGTTGGGGGGCTGAAAACAAGGAGCTGGGATTGAGTGCCGAGTCCAGGGTTGGATTTTGGGGACAGTCTTAGGGGAATGGGTTGCTTGGGCGCAGAACCCAGCCCGGGATTTGGATGTCACTGAAATGGCAGGAGGACCGTAGATGACAGTCTCATCCAGTTCGGTTCCTCAGGATATTTCCTTCCCTCATGCAAGGGCCCGACAGGCACATTTGAGTCCCAGCAAACAGTCACCACTTGACCTCATGTAACCGAGGGCGTTTGAATGGCTTGGGGGAGGGGGGGGCGGCAGGCGCGGAGTGCAAGTTGTGTAATTGTCTGCCAGGCCCCGTCCAAGGTACCAACCCTGACTTGCCTAGGACAGTGGTCAGCAAACTCATTAGTCATCAGAACATCAAACTGCAGCTCACGTGGCTCTCGAGCCAGGGTGTGCGGACCACTGGCCCAGGAGCTTCACTCAGTCTCAGATGCGGTCTGGGAGGGCCAGGCTAACGGTGCAGCCAGGATGGCGGGTCGCACTCTCTAAGGGCCTTATAGAATGGCCCGGAGTGGCCTGTCCTGGTCACCCATGGTCCCCCAAAGGCCTGGGGGAGGCTCACTGTGGTCGGACTTGTAGGGGAGGAGGGGTGCTGGATCCTGCTGAGCCCGGGACAGTGGGTCATCCCCGGGCAGGCTGTTTCCTGCCTAGAAGAAGCCAGCCCCTTTGCTGAAGCCACATGCTCTCCCAGGAGCTCAGCTACATATTGCTAGATGTTCAGAGTCTCTATCGGGCACTGTGACCTCAGTAGTTAGAGTCACCGTCTTATGATCTCAAGATTTAATGTTTTAGGAAAGGAAAAGAAAAGAGGGAAAATGTTCCCAGAATGGTGGAAGGGGAGGAGGTTGGAGAAATGGTTTTCTTGGTGAACAGCCCACTCCCGAAATACAGGCACAACCGGCCCATCAGATCCCACTTTCAAACAACTGCTCGTCACAGAACTGGCTCAGGTGCGGTGGTGGTGAGTGGGCCGGGGGCCGGTCTGAGCCCCTCACCCGTCACCTCTGCTGCACTGCGGCCTCCTGGGAGCGTCTCTTCCTTGAGAAAGAGTCGCAGGCCCCTGGAAAGCCCCGGCCCTGGTCTGGGGAGGCCATTCAAGGCCAGGGTGACTCAGGGTCCTGAAGTCATGTCAGTGGAAACTTATTCCACCCTCCCTGCCTGACCCGGCTCCCTTGGTGCCTGGAGGTGGCAAAGGGCAGCATGTGGGAGGCAGGAGGCCTGGAGAGGACCATTCCCCAATTGGCCATCAACTTGCTGTACGCCCTCGACCAAGCTTTTATCCCCACCTCCACCCCCACCCCCATCCCCGCTTGGGCCTCTGTTTCCCCATCAGTACAAGGAAATTTACTTTGATAATCTCTTAGGCCCTTGCAACTCTGCATGGCACAGACAATGGATCCAACTTATTGGGGGCGGGGAGCCAGCTTATTTTTCCTTCTAATGAAGCCAGGCCGAGATTAAAATGGCCTTCCGTGCGTCTTACTGCAAGCACTGGAGCCACAGATCTGAAGCCAGCCAAGGGGAAGCTGCTTAGGGTTTAAAATGTCAAACTCTTGATCCTTCTCACTGGAGGGGAGATGTATCCTGGATAATCAGAAACGTGAAATCATCCAAAAGCCATCCCTCCCAGGCCCTGGGTGGGGAAATAAGTAGGTGTGGGGGCTGGGTGTTTGGGCAGGTCACAGCTCACTGAGATGCATAATGGAGCCACCAGTGAGGCCTGAGCACAGGAGGAACTGGGACACCGTCCAGCCCCACATTCTGGCCCTGCTCCCTGCTCGGAGCCAGGAGTTGACAGCACTGCCCTCAGACCAGTGCATTCAGTCATTCCGAAGACATCTGTCCAGCACGCACTACGTGCCAGGCGTGGGGACACCACAGTGAGCACCACGGATGAGATCTTGGTCCTCGGGGGGGGGGAGGGGGGGGCTTCCAGTTTAGAGAGGAAGAGGGGAGGAAGGCTGCAAACAGAATGGCGCAGCACGTTTGGGAAATATCGTAACTAGGACTGCAGAGAGGAAAACCTGAGACTGCTGCAAGCCGACCAGGTCCCAAATCTGATGCTTCAAGGGTGGAGTGGGAAGAGCATTCTGGGCAGAGGGAATAGCAGTGGGCAAAGCCCTGAGGCAGGAAGAAGATCAGCTTTGAGGACAGTAATGCCGAGTGAGGGGGCGAGGCTGGCAAAGCCAGAGTCATGCCGGGCACAGGAAGGAGTTTGAACTGTATTTCAAGACAAATAGGGAACCGCTGCGGCCAGCCCTCCGCTGGGACATGCCAAGGGTCTCTGGGGAGCAGGGCAAGTGGCGAGGGAGGGAGACCAGGCAGGCACTGCCGATGGCTCTGACCAAGGCCGCTGTAGAGCTTTCTCCCGTTATCTGAGACGGCACAGCAGCTCCCTCTCCTCAGACAGCCTTCCGGGGCCAGGCACTGACGAGTCATTGTGGGGACCAGCACGGTTTGGGGGTGCAGGGACCTAGAATGGTGAGGAAGAAGAGGTAGCAGCGGGAGGGTCACTGTCAGCAGGGCTTCAGCCGAGAGGGCAGCGCCAGGCTCGGTCACCCACAGACTGAGCACTCGGTGTCGGGCACGGGAGAAGCCACATCTTGAGCCCCTCCATGCCCATCCCAGGGCCAGATGTGGGAGACGGAGCAGCCATGACCTCTGTTCTCAGAGGCCGGCGTCCACCCCAGGGAGCTAACACACGTACACAAAGAGCCTGAGCACACCTGGGGGAAGGGGCAGGCGCCAAGAGGCAGGAGCCACAACGCCTGTGCTCCGGGAAGTGGGTGTTGAGGTCAGAAGTCCTCCCTCTGCCCCTTTGGTGGGGAAAGGCTCTGTGTACAGCCTGGGAGGTGAGTCCCACCTCAGCCCGGGAGCTGAGGAAAACAGGTGCAGCTGTGGACTTTGCCCAGGGGACCCACAGTTAGTAAGCAGTGGAGCCAGCATCTGAACCCAGTTCTGTCACCACCCCCACCCCACATCCCTGCCATCCTGCTCCCCCCCACCCCACCCCACACCCCTGCCTCCCCACCCACAGCATGACAGATTGGTTGGATGTTCCCTGCAGCTGTTCCTGGGCCTGACATCTTAAATGGATGTTGAGGTTCCGTGGAAGAAGCTGCATTTTAGCTCGACCTTGAAGAGTAGACAAGATTTGGACACTGGAGAAGGGCGGAGGGACATCCCAGGCAGAGGGAACTGTGGGCCAGGGCAGGTCACATCCCAACGGGAACCAGAAGAGGAGAGCTCAGAGGAGCCAGAGTATAGGATGTGGGGCCAGACCGGTCTGGGCGCTGAGCTCATGGGACAGAATAAAAGGGGTGGGGGTCGTGGGCACCCGGCCCTTACAGACAGCTTCTCTAGTCCCTTCGATGGAAAGCAAAGCCAGACAGGCTGGCTCCTGTGGGCCCTGCCATGCCCGGGGAAGAGGGTGGGAGGGTAGGGAGGGCCCTCCAAGGTGTTCAGGAATCTCGAGTCCCCCTCCCTCGCTGCTCCCTCTCAGCCTGGATCTGAGTCCAAGAGAAATGTCACAGGTCTTCCAAGGTTACACCAGCTGGGGCCTGACCAGAGCAGGAAGCAGTTTCCAAGGCCACCGTCCAGCCAGGGTCAGCAGGCATGCCCGGACCTGGGCCAGGCCCCGGCTGCTCTGGGCTTTGTCTCTTCGTGTCTTGAAACCTCAAGAGGTCACTTGATCTTGCCTCTGGCTCCGAGCAAGAAGAGGCCCTCCCGTCAGGGGTCAGCCGCCTGCCCTGCTCTTCTGGGCTCCTCTCCTCAGCCCCCGAGGCCGTCCTCCCTCAGTGCTATCTCGCCTCTCCCGCAGCCATTTTCAGGCCAGGCCTTCTTGTTCCGAGCCCTCATTTCCTGGAAATCTAATCTCTCCACGAGCGTGCCCTCTCACGCTCCTCCTCTCCCACATCCCCGTGGCCCTGGAAGGAGAACCCAAGGGAGCGAAGCCCTGAAACGGGGTGTGTGGGGGGGTACGCCTGTGGGCACAGACAGGCCTCTGTGCAGAATCTGATTCCATCTCAAACCAGACAAGTGGCCTGGTGAGTCACGTCACCTTGCTGCCTCTCGTAGGAGAATTAAATGAGATTACCCGTGAAGCACTTAGCCGAGTCCCTGGCACAGGAAGCACGTAATCCGTGGCTGGTAAATGGGGGGATAAGATCCTCCTCGCCACCTGAATCCCGGGGCCTCTGATCCCATCTGTGTGAGTCACACACCCCTGACCTTTTCCTGCTCGCTCAGGACGCCGCAGCCGGCCTCCTTCACCAGGAGGGCCTGGTGTCTCTCGGGTGTGGGTGTGGGTGCGGGGCTTTTGGTGGGAGACAAAATGCTTCCTGGGTCTTTGCCTTAGCAACTCGGTTCTCCCCGGGGAGCCAGGGAGAAGAGGTAAGTCACAGGTCTCACCCCGAGGGACCCAGGTCAGCTAGAATCCCCGCCCACACACCTGTCCACTCCCGTCCTCTCTCTCGGTGCAGAGAATCTGAAAAAGACTGCCTGTGACTTTGTAGCAGGTCACGATTTTCCCCCTGGCAGATCGGCCACCTTTGTCACCACAGCGCCTGCTGCCGTAGTGCCCTCTGTTTATGCCGGAGGGCAGGAGGAAGCAGATCAATTCTGTATTCAGTGCACATGAACCAGACACCTTCCTGGGCCACGCATTGCAGCTGGCGCTGAAGGTACCCCTGAACGGGACGAGCAGTGGCCTGCCCTCATGGCGTTTGCAGCCTATAAATAGGTGTTTATGCAGAGCCTCCGTGTGGGCACCCCTCCCCAGGGAGGGGAATGGAACACTCCCCCCGGGAATGCCAGGGACCACTTGTGAACCCTGGGCAGGGCGTGG